ACTACCATGCCCGGCTGATTTTTTGATTTATTGTAGAGATGAGGTCTCGCCAAGTTGCCCGTGCGGGTCTTGAACTCGCGGGCTCAGGCAATCCACTCACCTCAGTCTCCTAAGGTGCGGGATTACAGGCTGAGCCACCAAGCCCGGCTTAATTTTTTTTAAAAAAGAGAAGCAGATTTTAAGAGATGAGGTCTCACTATGTTGCTCAGGCTCAAGCAATCCTCTTGCCTCAGCCGCCCGAGTAGCACACACCATTATGCCCAGCTGTGATTTTTGTTTGTTTTGCACACATGCACGCGTGCATGTGTGTGTGTGTGTGTGTGTGTGTTTGAGATTGGTAATTTTATGGCTAGTTATCTTTGTTTAAAATAGTAAATGCTAAACTAAAACAATCTTTGGGACCATTAGAGGCACAGAATAGCATTTTAAGATCATCAGAGTTAAAAAATATTTCTGATGGAGAGGAGGCAAATCAGATGTAGAGTCAAGTAATTTATCCCAAGATTACATAGCTAATAAGTAGCAGAACTGACACTAGACTACAGATTACATATTTATGTGGAAGTAAAATGAACAACCGTATTTTGATTTTGAAATCTGGCTTCAGCACTTGTTAGTAGGCCTGCTTTCAAATATTGTTCAGCTTTCCTCATCTGTAAGATAGTTGAGTATACCCCTACTTACAAGATTGTTATGGAGATTAAATAGGAAAATATGTAAGAATGACTGCTACTTGGTAGATGGTCAGTAAACTGCTGGTTTTTCTTTCCGTTTAGTGCTGTTTCCATTGTATCGTATACCTTTTACAGTTAGTGCCTGCCAGTATAGTGATAGCTCAGAATAATGAATAAGAACCATGAGAAGTTTGTTTTATTTATATTCAGAAACTTGTCCCTCTCAAGAGCCCTGTTTCTTCTCCCTCCTTCATACTTTCTTCCCATTCAGCCTCCCACATTTTTTTTTTCTTTCATTCTGTCTCCTTTCTCTGTTCCCTGCCCTGTTCTGTTCACCAGGCTGATATATATTCTTTTATGTTATATTACCTAATGAACTGCCGGGCATGCTGTAGGTACCCTACTATGAAGTGACTTAAGTGTTGTTCTTTTATTCTCCTCTGCCATTCTTTTTTTTTTTTTTTGAGTCAGAGTCTCACTCTGTCGCCCAGACTGGAGTGCAGTGACACAATCACAGCTCACCTTAGCCTTGACCTGCTGGGCTCAGAGGATCCTTCTGCCTCAGCATTCCAAGTTCTGGGACTACAGGTACATACCACCACACCGGCTCATTTTTTAAGTTTTTGTAGAGATGAGGTCTCGCCAAATTTCCCAGGCTGATCTCAAACTCCTGGACTCAGGTAGTTCTCTTGCCTGGCCTTCCAAAGTGCTGGGATTACAGGCATTAGCCATCGCTCCCAGCCTCCTCTGCCATTCTTATATAACGGTTTCTGGGTCATTTGGATCATGTATTCTTTCCTCCCTGTTTCTTCTGGCCAACTAGCCTCACGCAGCTAAACCTGTACATACCTGAAAGTGACATTTTAAAAGAAATTTAAGAACTGGTAATAAAATGGCAGGTTCTTCTCAACAAATGGCATGTGTATATAGCTATTTAGAGAAGGCCTTCCCTCATAGGACAAGAACCGTTCAACTCTAAAAGTGAGTCATTATACTTGAGATATGGAATAGGAGGAAAAGGATGCTTGCTTCTGGATAATTATAATCATTTGTGGCACACAATATTGAATATTGTCATAATTTTGATCCTGTGCCATTTCTTATATTGATTTGCCAGCAACTCGATGCAATTCATGGGTAAAACAGATTTGTATGATTTATCTTTTAACCTGAACTCCCTCAGCTGTGTAAGGAATATTTGAGTGTCAGTCAGCGCCTGAATTCTGCATTTGACTTTTAATCTGTGTATTTGGTACTAAAATAATTTCTTTTTTCCTTTATTTTTACCTTAAATTTAGCCAAAAAAGAACAGAAATGTATTATTTTCTTAGTGCATTTTCTACATGATTTCAATGGACTATAAATGGTATATATATTCACAGAGATTTTGGTCTTCACATTAGAGTTCATCCAAAATATTTAAAAGAAAGTTGGGAGGTTCATACTTGTTGTCAGGGCCAATTTATTAATTTTAAGCTTTTTATATATTTTAAACTTCTTGTGTTAACAGATATATCAAGTTGATGAATTTTCAGTAGACCCCCTTTGGTTGTATTTTTAATACAGTTGCCACTCTGTAATAGAATACAGCTGTGTATTTTAATATTTTCCTTAAAATTACACATATATAGGTGGTCTTTATGACTGGAGTTCCATGTCCAGAATGAGAAGATAAACTTAACACTGTAGTATGGTTAAATTTTTAAAATAACAGCTCTATTGACATGTAATTCATGTAACATAAGATTGACTCCTTTAAAGTATACATCCTGTTTGCAGCTTGTTCTTTAATGCTTCAGAAAAAGAGTCGTCATATACATTAAAGAGAGAAACTTGTTAAAATGTTAACTAAGGAATTTGGATAGAGAATATGGAAGTTTTGGGGTAGAGAATATGGGCGCTTTGTGTACTGTTCTTATAACTTTTCTCTCTTTGAAATTATTTCAAAATAAAATATATATTTTTCTTTTTTTTCTTCAGCATTGATGACTTGGGAGTGAATTACAATTTTTTTTAGTGAAAAATTGTATGATGTAGGGGTTTTAGTATGTTCACAGAGTTGTTCAATTGTCACCACTAATTCCAGTGTAAAATTTTAAACACAGGTTTTCTGTGTTTGTTTTATTTCTTTCCTTTTCACATGATGCACAAAAGTTGAAGTTTTTTTTTTTCTTTTGAGTTGGAGTCTCACTCTATTGCCTAGGCTGGAGTGTGGTGGCATGCTCATGGCCACCACAGCTTCAACCTGCTGGGCTCAGGTGATCCTTCTGCCTCAGTCTTCCAAGTAGCTGGAACTACAGGCATGCACCACCATGCCTGGCTAATTTTTTGATTTGTTGTAGGTCTTGCCAAGTTGCCCAGGCTAGTCTTGAACCCCTGGGCTCAGGCAGTCCTCTTGCTTCCACCTCCCAAAGTGCTGGGATTACAGGCATGAGCCACCATGCCTGGCAAAAGTTGAAGTAAAATTTGACAGCAAGAAATTGACAACAAAATTTCTTTACAGTTTTCTTAAAGTTTTCAAATGTTGAATTAAAAGACCAAAGCATATCATAAGTGAAAGGAAATTAAGTATAATTAGGGCACTTAAAATGAAAAATTCTTATTTGACAAAATAAAATGAACTGCTTTTAATTTTAATATATATATCCTTTGTTGAAACTGTTGTGTAGAATCCTGGAATAAACTGTCAGTCTCATGCAAAACTATATCTACTTCTTAAAACTTGAATTGAGGAAGGAAATGCTTTGTACCAACATGGCAAATACTTTATTATAATAAGAACATTTGTTTCTTCCTCTTGTACTACTTTGTTTGTTGTATTGTATCTTCCTCTGAGAGTTAGACACCCTTTAGAGAACTGCTTTTTTGATTTTTGTATGCATTGGAGCAATCAGTATTTGCAATATTTTAAAGCAAATTTTTAATAATAAAAATTATACTAGTCTCATAATTTTCAAGTAAATTTTCACTTTTGTTAATGATGTATAATATTGTTTTTACTTTTCTCTTAATTTGAATTTATAAGCTCTTACTAAATGCAAATATAGCCACTTAAAATTTACCAGAATATATAGTTTACTCAGGGTTAAAGAATTGGGAAGATTCGTTTGCACTACCATTTGCATTGCTTTTTTACACTGAATGTACTCTGGGCACAAATATGAATCTGAATAAGTACTAAAAAACGCAGTTGCATGTAAATACAACTGAGTTTTTGTCTAATCCCCTAATTGAAAATGACCCAGAGAAGGGTCTGCCAAGGGTCAAAGGGAAGTGAGACATTTTTTTTATTCTTTAGAATATAGAAAAATGCTTTATCAAATGGATTTTTATGCCAATAGATACAGATTATTGAAAATATTTTCTACAAAATGTTACATAAAACAATGCTAATGAGTCTTAGGATTATATAAAATATGTTTTCTTACATTGTTTTACTTTTTTTTTTTAATAGGAAAAGTAGCCATCAAAAAAGAAGACTTGTGTAATCACAGTGGCAAAGAAACCTGGTTTTCATTACAGTCTGTTGACTCCAATTCAGAGGTTCAGGTAAATATTAAGGCTTAAGTAACACCAGAGATTTTTGCAGAAAAATTAGTTAGTTATTCTAGTTCATGCAGATAGAGCTTATTATACTTTATGTTAAATGTTGGCATCAAATATTATAGACCTGTGGGTAATACAGCTCAAAGGAAATGGCTTTGCCATATTATTTTAGAATAATGCTCATGTGTATGCATATGTGTGGGCTTGGGAAGAGTATATTAGGGGAGGACATTTTTGTCTTGCCTTAGTTCTTCTGATTGAGTCACAGTAGTAAATTTGTGTGTATATGCGTTTAAAAGGGGGAAAGTTTTAAGGGAAAAGCTATGTTTTATTAACTGTAACTTTGAGGAGAATCTCTAGAAGTCAGATTTCATCTGTTCTGATCAAGATGCTCCATTTACTCTCTAGTAAGCTGGACTTGGGAAAATGTTACTTATTTAAACCAGCCTGAGCTCACATTGCAGCGGGCCTTTACTCCCACACCCATTCTTCCTGTTGTTCACCTCTCTCTTTATTTGAAAGGGTATCATTACTCCTTTAAATCTTCTCTTTCCTCTTACCAAAATAAGAGACCTTTTTCAGATTCCATTATGTGAGTAAAGATTATGTTTAGCCATGTGACTGAAGTTTCTGTTTGTTTTTAGAAAGTCTAGCTGCTGTGTCTTAGAAATTGTTATATCTAAAAGGAATCTATTTTTTTTGGAAACCCTACTTATTTATAAAATATGGTAAGGATTGTTAAATCTTTTCCTGAGGGCATAATTGCAAGCAGGATTCTTCCTCTCTAAAAGAAGTTATAATTTGCCACTGTGACTCAAACAAAAGTTTAAGACAAGAAAAAGTCCTGCACCAACGCCCACAGATAATTTGCAAATAAAGTGCCTATGTCTCCATTTCCTCATAACCTCTCAAACATTCTCTTTGATTAAATGATTAAATTCTCAAAAAATTAAGTACTTGTGTACCAAAACTCCTTCTTAACTCCAAAATATAACTGATACTTTCCTATTTTACCTACTTTACCCCATTTTAATAATCTTCTCTTTCTATATAACCATAGCAGTTATTTATTTATTTATTTAATTATTTAATTAATTAATTTATTTTTTGAGTTGGAGTCTCACTCCATCGCCCAGACTGGAGTGCAGTGGCCGCTCCCAGCCACCGCAGCCTCAACCTGCTGGGCTCCGGTGATCCTTCCGCCTCAGCCTTCCAAGTAGCTGGAACTACAGGCACGCGCTACCAAACCCGGCTCATTTTTTTTTATTTATTGTAGAGATGAGGTCTCGCTAAGGCAGGTCTCAAATCCGCGGGCTCAGGCAATCCACTCCCCTCAGCCTCCCAAAGCGTGGGATTACAGGCTGAGCCACTGAGCCCAGCTCATAGCAGTTATTTAAATCTCAGTTAATCAGTGTTGTAAATGATCTTAATGAGAGGCAATGCAAGGAAGGGGAAAGGGTTGAAATTAGAAATTAGAAGATTTAAGCCATAGTTTTCATAAGTGGTTATTAGAATGACCTTGAATTTCATTTCTATAAAATGGGAATAAAAGTGCTGTGTTTGATTCATATGGTTGTGAGTCTCACTCTGTCGACCAGGCTGGTTGTTCTTGCTCACAGCCACTGCAGCCTTGACCTGCTGGGCTCAGGTGATTCTTCTGCCTCAACCTTCCAGGTAACTGGAACTACAGGCACATGCCACCACGCCCAGATAATTTTTTAATTTATTGTAGAGATGAGGTCTCGCCAAGTTGCCCAGGCTGGTCTTGAACCCAGGGCTCAGGCAGTCCTCTCACCTCAGCCTCCCAAAGTGCTGGGATTATAGGCATGAGCCACCGCACCCGACTTTAGTTGTGAGAATTAAGTGAAATATCTTTAAGAATGCTTTAAAAGCCATTAATTGCTGTGCAAATGTAAAATATTGTGTGTTTACCACCAGTCATTCTGGTGGCTATTTCTCTAATATGCCTTTACCAAAAGGCAGATATGAAAATTTTAGATTCAAGTACCAGTTTTGTTTTTAATAGTTTTAACAAAAAGCAAGATAGAAATAGGCTTTGAAGATCAGGCTCGGTGGCTCAGTCTGTAATCCCAGCACTTTGGGAGGCTGAGGCAAGGGGATTGCCTGAGCCCACTAGTTCAGGACCAGCCGGAGCAACTTGTCCAGACCTTGTCTCTATACTAAATCAAAAATGAGCCAGGCGTGGTAGCGTGCACCTGTAGTTCCAGCTGCTTGGAATGCTGAGGTGGAAGGATCGCTGGAGCCCAGCAGGTTGACCCTGGGGTGGCTGTGAGTGTACCACTGCACTCCAGCCTGGGCGATGGAGTGAGACTCCAACTCAAAAAGAAAAGAAAAAAAGAAATAGGCTTTGAAAATTTAGTCTAAAATGAAATTTGAGGATTATTTTAAGGTTTAATTGTTTAAACACATTCTTCTTATGGACAGTGTAAACTCGCTAAAGGATTTAAGCGTTCCAGCTCTTAGATTTAAAAGTTCCAGCTCTTAAAAAGTTGAAATCTATGTAGAACACTCTTTATATAATTCTTGGAGATGATATTAGAGATTAATATGGGACACAGGTTTTCTTTGTTTTTGTTTTTATTTTTGAGTCAGCGTCTCACTCTGTTACCCAGACTGGAGTGCAGTGTCATGCTCATGGCCACAGCAGCCTCAACTTGCTGAGTTCAGGTGTTCCTTCCGCCTCAGCCTTCCAAGTAGTTGGAACTACAGCTGCGCACCACCACACCTGACTAATTTTTTGATTTGTTGTAGAGACAAGGTCTTGCCAAGTTGCCCAGGCTACTCTCAAATTCGTGGGCTCAGGCAGTCCTCTCGCCTCAGCATCCCAAAGTGCTGGGATTACAGGCGTGAGCCACTACGGCTGGCGGGACACAAATTTTCATTTGATAGTATATACATAAAACTCACCTCTGAAACATTAAAGTTCTGGGAACAGTACTTACCTATTAGAGATAATATTTTCCATTTAAAAATTTGCTACTGGTTATTTTTAGCCGGGCTCGGTGGCTCAGCCTGTAATCCTGTGCCTTGGGAAGCTGAGGTAAGTGGATTGCCTGAGCCCGCGGGTTTAAGACCCGCCTGGGCAACTTGGTGAGACCTCATCTCTACAATAAATCAAAAAATTAGCCGGGTGTGGTAGCGCATGCCTGTAGTTCCAGCCGCTTGGAAGGCTGAGGCAGAAGTCTCTCCGGAGCCCAGCAGGTCGAGGCTGTGGTGGCCGGGAGCGGCCACTGCACTCAGTCTGGGTGGCAAAGTGAGACTCCAACTCAAAAAAAAAAATAATAATAATTTTAAAAGTTTGCTACTGGTTATTTTCATGGCAATAAGTTTTTAACCTTTATAGCTCTATTATCTTACATGGTACTTAATTAGTAAGATTTACCCACTATTTAAAATAGAAGGAAGAGTACTTTGGGGGGTGGAAGGATACATAACAATTTCAGGTTAATATGACACATTGGAAATGGTTTCTGACCCCAAAACCGATCTGAGCATACTGAATTAACTTTGTAAGTGTAGAAAAGATAGAAAAGCAGCCCATGATTCATACAAATCCTTCTTTGTTAATAAATTTGTTCACCTTCATAAATTTTATAAAATTTTACAAAAAATACCATAAAACATAAGAGCAATTGATGGAGGGCAATAGGAGAAATCTATGAGATAGTGAGTTCAGCAGAAACTCGGTCTAATTATTATTATTTTTGAGTTGAGTCTCACTCTGTTGCCCAGACTGGAGTACAGTGGCTGCTCCCAGCCACCGCAGCCTTGACCTGCTGGGTTCTGGAGATCCTTCCGCCTCAGCCTTCCAAGTAGCTGGAACTACAGGCGTGTGCCACCACAGCCAGCTAATTTTTTGATTTACCATAAAGATGAGGTCTCACCGAGTTGCCCAGGCGGGTCTTGAACCCGCGGGCTCAGGCAATCTACTCACCTCAGCCTCCCAGGGCATGGGATTACAGGCTGAGCCACGGAGCCCAGCCGGTCTAATTATTATTAGTAGTAGTTATACCAATATATTCCTAGCACAGTGCTAAGCACTTAATGTACATCATGTCATTTAATCTTCAGAATAGCATTATGAGGTCAGTAATGTTACCTCTGATTTACAAATAAGGCAAATGAGATTCACAAAAGTTAAATGACTTCTCCAAACTCACAGAACTACTAAGTGGTAGGACCAAGATTCCAACAAAGATTTGTCTGATTCAAAAACTCCTAATCATAGTGCTTACTACCTTTCACTGTTATGTATTGTTAGTCATAAAAAAGCTTCCATAGATTAGTAGGATCACTTAAGTAACACCTAAGTTTAAGGAACAGAAAAAGCCTACTCAAATTAGCTGAAAGAAGAAGGGAGGGAGCATTAGGAAGTTCCTAGGGAGCTTCTTGGAATGTAATTACAGGAACTTCACTATGACCAATGTAGCTAGAAGATTTGTCGGGCATTGGCAGAGGATCTACATCCTATGTAAGTAGAGGTTAGAGTCTTAGAATATGAGTGATAAAGTTCACGTAAGTTAACATGTTTTTGGAAAAGATTTGAATTTCTCATAAAGCACCCTAAAGTATTGGATGATTTGTTTGTTTTTGGTTGACTGCCACATAAAATAGTTGGCTTGCATTCAGGGTCATGTTGAATTAAAAATATATACCGTGTCTTTAAACTGTAGACCCCCCCACTCAGTGCAGCAGTGGATACTACAAGAGGCACGTGGTAACTGAGTCCCCTGATTCATTTCTTCTTACTCATAAGCTTACCATGCTTATTAAGTATAAGTGCTCACTGTTTGTTTTTTCTTTCCCTTTCATTTTGCAAAGTGGATAGTTTTTTCTATCTTTCCTTCTCATTTTAACCCACTTAGCTATCCACTTTGCAAAATGAAAAGGAAAGAAAAAACACCATTTGATGATGAAATTTGTTGTTTTCTTTTTGTATGTCTGATGAAACTACATGTCACTATGTCTACTTTTCTCTGTAA